CAAATCAAATCAAACCAAAAGGCATCTACCTGTAAACATACAGCCTACAATAATATACAGGGGTCTATACCACTGACAAGGTTGCAGACAGAATCCTGAATAATGTAGAGAGGTATTTTGTTTTTATAAATATAAATTCTCTCCTTGTAAATCTCGATGAGTGGACTAACACATTAAAATGTGCATAAAAGAACATGCATGAACAATAAAAATTATTACAGGAAAACTATATATTTTAAGATGGTATGATTCACGATACCGCATCAAAGAATGCTCGCAGATGTTGAAAGCCAGCTTAAAGTACCAAAATATGTGTCGTCCTATCTTTTATAATATCGGTTTATTTAATTCAGAGTGAAGCCGCAAGGTCATCAACAAAACAAAAACAAAAAAAACCCACAATATTGTACAGAATAAAATCTGCATAGAGTTTTAATGCCGAAAAAACAAAAGGAACTGGAAAATACTCTACGCAATAACGGTATAGATATTCGCTTTTTCAAAGCGTCTATTAAGACAAATAGAAAGATTTAAAAGCAATATTTGGATTTCCTAACTTCTTTATAAGTTTTATAAATAGTACAACCGCAAAAAGCTGTGTTTGAAAAACCACTTTTAAAAAAAAATCATTGTGACTTTTACTTCCATAGTAACGAGTATATGAAAAATTTAGTAAAAAAAGTTTATCTAATCAGTAAGATATCTATATTTGTTTAACTATAAAATATATTTAATATTGAGTGAAAATATTACGTTCTTTAAAACCTGACACGCCATTACTTATACATAAACATATATATCAAAACAATATCGAAATGTACTCTCATGAAAATGAATCAAGGAAACAACAATGGAATACCTCGAGAAGAGCATTGTTTTAATCATTTTTGTTTGACAATCAGATACCATATCTACCTTTGAAACAGAGGTCATATTTCATTGATGACGTGTAATGCCACAAATCTAAAATTTCAGTGTTTACCGCCATATTGCTACTTCGATTGAACTGTAGCAAGTCATTTCTCACCTTGACCATTTCGTACCTCTGCCATTTCGTACCCAAAATTACCCTTTCGTACCCAACATTTACCATTTCGTACCCACAATAGAAACCATTTATTACCCCATGGGCCTAATACATCTACCATTTCGTACCTCATGGATTAGATACATGTTTACTATTTCGTACCTTGAACATTTCGTACCTCTGCCATTTCGTACCCAAAGTTACCCTTTCGTACCCAACATTTACCATTTCGTACCCACAATAGAAACCATTTCGTACCCTATGGGCCTAATGCATCTACCATTTCGTACCTCATGGATTAGATACATGTTTACTATTTCGTATCATATATTTGTAAAAGTAATCTTTTTTAAGATATAAAACATTTACTGTAAATGGTATTACAAAATAATACATAAATTCCTTTAACAAATACTTACTGTAAAAGTGTACAAAAGATAATGCTATCTACACAAAAATGTCTGAATTAATGAAGATCACCATATTTGTAAGTCCTGTATTTTTATCGAATTTCTGTTAGTCCTGTATTCTATCAACCCTTGAAATTTAAACTTATTGAAAACTTCCAGCTATATTGCATAGTTACTGTGGTATAAAAGTGAAAGTAGACTGCATATTTGTTTTTCCTTTATTGATTTTTTTTTCAATTTTACAATCCACACACAAGTATATTTTTCTGCGTTTCGTAGTATAGTAGAAAAATAATGTATTGCACGGTTCATCAAGACTAAGTGTAGTCACGTGTTTAGAATGACCAATGGTCAAGGTTTTTATGGTTTGGCGCCAAATGTAGTGTCTTGTGTTAAGGTCTTCATTCTAGCCGTGGACGTTCGATAGTAAACAACAAAATGGACGAGCCGGCGTTTAAACAGTTAATAGCAAACGAGGTTCATAATGCTGTACAGAGTCCTCAGAATTCCATGCTTTCCAGAATCGACACTCTGATGAGCAATAAGCTAGGTTCTTTTGAAAGTTCCATGAAAGAATCCCAGAAAAGCTCTCCGATATCCAAATTGCAAAAATCGAAGAACTGACAACAGACAATTACGAGTTTAAACGGAAGGGTAATAAAGAACAACATAAGATCAACACCACAATCATCCAGAAGATGAAAGAAGCCCAATTTAACCTACAAGACAGTCCAATGCAGAACGAACAGATAAACTCAGCAACCCAACGAATTGGTGAAGGTATTGATTTGCTAACACATAGGCAAACACTTATGAAGATGGCTGATCATTCAGAAAGCGGGTGGAAGACGGTAGAGGAATACCAGACGAATACTCTAGCGGATAATTCCGAAGACGAGAAAAGAATACGCAGAGCTGATGTAAGAGCTGCACAGAAAATGAAGGCAGAGAGAAAGACAAAGAAGAGTAGATTTACCCCCATTTCGCACCCCACATCAACCAGATCGAGTGCACCCATACCTGTTCAGATATCAGTATGTACACAGACCAGGGAAATCCTACGAAGGTCATTGGCGTAAATATCATGCTGCAATGTCAATGAAGCAGAACTTTGATAAGATAAGTATTGATTTTGAATATTTATCAGATTGTCAAGATTTTGAAGAATTCGGTATTTCCGATTCTGAAAATATAACGTATGATTTTTTTTAAACAAGTCTAGTTTTCATAACGAAAACAACATATCGAAAAGTAAACAAGTAGATAATAGATCGCCAATAGGATGCTTAAAATGGTTTTTAATAATTGGACGAAATCAGGTGCTAATGAACAAGTATTAGATGTTATGAGCAATTCTCTGTAATCACCAAAATATTTCGGCACGCACTAAAAAATATTTGTTTTAAACTTTATTAGTTCAATAGAGCCACATGAGCTTAACAAAAAATATTATTACACTTAGCCCCATATGTTTACCGTTTCCTTGGTAACAGGACTTAAAGTGGCAAGAAAGAGGGAAAATGCAGTGTTTACAAATTATGATCAATTATGTCTAATAAAAAGAAAATAATATAGATATTCAGACATTTAAAATTTTTGTCAGTTTAAAAAAAACAAATAAAAATTGTGTTCAACAGTAAACTTTCTTAAAAAAAATCTATATAGCTAAAATAGGATAAAAAGTGCAATAAAAGGGGGGTTTTAGAGCCTATTTTGATCAGGTGTTGTAAAAAAATGCAGCCATTTCTTATATTGTTGATTATATGAATAGAGAGAATGGATTAAGGTTATACAAGAAAAGAAAAAAAATCAGTGGGCAAACTTGACTGTGTTGAAATTAATTGACCCTGAAAAGTTGAGTTGTCCTGTATTTACCTAATCAAATTACCTCCCTTTACGGAGTTTCTCTTGTAGAGAAACAAATTAAAAACAGGAGGGAAAATGTAAACAAATGCAGACAACAATGTTATTTTGCGAATTTCTTCATGTTTTATATTCAAGCATAATGGGAAATGGGTAAATTTTTCACAGTGATGTTAGCCTACACTTATATATATGGTTAAGTTGGTGTGATTTGCTCATATTATGAAAATATTGTCAGAACAATGGAACTGTGTCTGTACTAAGACAGTGTATTTTATAGTTTATTTTGCTTACCGTAACTAACTTTTTTAATGTATTTATTTATATAATCTTCAAACAATTGTTATAAAATGTGTAGCATAAAAGATTTCGTAGGCAATTGTGACAACTGCAGTGCTGACAGGTATTTTTGTAAATGCTTCCATTGGAAAAAGAGACATGTATAAATTTTTGTCAGAATTTTTTTTACTTAAATCTGACATTACATTGTACGTCACAACTGACGATCAATGATATTCATTGAAATATTATCATCGAAACAACTAACAAGAGATATAGAAGGAAAAACTGTGGTGTGCCTTCAGTAAATGTCATTTTGAAATATCATAATACTACAAAAGCTGCTGCAGTGGATCGACATGTTACACCCGAGATGTTTCAAAGAATTGTTACAAAGACAGGCATTTTCATTCCTATTGGAACATGTAAGTAGATACTTTTTACCTAATACCATTTTTCTTTAAAAAGGATACAGTGATAAACCTCTTATAAAAAAGAAATCAGGTACCCCCCCCCCCCCCCCAAAAAAAAAAAACCAAAAAAAAAAACCTTAGGGTTACTAATTATCTACCATTTGGCTATGAACCTTAAGCTTATTGTTTTTAGCATGTGACAGCCATATGAACTTCTTTAATACCCCTTTTTTAAACTTTAAAACATAAAATTATGTGAAGTTCTTTGAATCTTGTTTTTGAGAGACAAAAATTATAACATGAATGCTGTTTCACGTTTCCTTTCCTTTACCAGATTTGTAAGGTTTTGTACATGATAATCACATCATTTCATACCGGTCCTTATGAAATAAAAAATGTTGCAGCAACAATGCTGCAATGTTGCGGCTGCTGATCAGGTTGCCAGAAAATTGATGCCGGATAAGTGCTGAATGATGCCACTAGCATCATTCTGGCTACAGTGCAGCGCTATTTCCTTTCATGACAAAAAGCGCCACAATGTTGCCATAAAGCACACATATAATTTTCTCATTCTTAATCTACTAAAATGATGCCAGAATAGAGCCAGAACATTGATAATGTCATTGATGATGTCACCAGTGTTTGAGCTTTTTACTGTGGTCATGGTGGTGTGTTAGAAGTGGACCATATGTTGCTTGAGCTTATGATTTTAGTGAAGAATTGGGTGTTCTGTTATTGTGAAGACTTGTATGTAAACTTAGATTAACATGATTAATTAAATGCATTATATAAAAGTTCAATCTCTCATTTAATTAAATCAAGGAAATTGTCTTCTTCCTGATAGACCTGGAGAGCATTTTCAAAAAATCCTAATTAACAGGGACGAACTATCATCTAATGGGGCAAATTGGTACCTTCTGAAACATAAGTCATGGTTTCTCTTCCCTTTCTCAATTTAACCCTTGCTAAAATTTTACAGAGCATGCTGAAGAAACCTCTAAAGACGGCTTGAAAGTGCTATTTGTTTGGAAAAAAATGTAGTATAATCACGAATTTAGATTGCTAATCAGACAAAACACAACACCTTTGACTGAAGTGAAGGAGCTCCTGTTGGGATCATGGAAATTATGTTGGTGTTATTGAAGGTATAGATGTTGCATGTTGACAGTTCACGAGTTACACATTTTAACTTTCCTTTTCCTCAATGTGGGAAAATTAAGTACATTACATATAGGAATAACTTCTGAGGACAGAACTTTACTTTCTTTAGAAGAAAAAGTTATAATAATAACCCTGAGCACACAAAAAAATCATAACGTTAAATAAAGGAGTTAAAACTTTTTCTCGGGTATACTTAGCACTAAACTTGCCTGGTCAGACGTTACTTTACCTTTTTAGTCAATAATTAAACGAAGCCACAGCATTTTCTGGCACCAGTGCCAGAAAACTTATTTGCATATGAAATACGCTAATGCAGCATCATTGCCACAACATGTTGGTGCAATGAAGCTGCAACATAGCCCTAATGTTGTCACAACTACATGTATGCGCCAGAAGGCTTATAATCCGATAAGGGCGCGGACAGCCTCCTTTTATTCATGTTTACTTGAGATACATGTATGTTTTAAAATTCATGTTTTTATGTACATACATGTACATGTATATGACCCAACAAAAAAGTATGTGGGTTTACTATACACCTACCTACCCTAATTTCAGTATATGACCCAACAAAAAAGTATCTGGGTTTACTGTACCCCTACTTACCCTAATTTTTGTCCCCTACCCTAAAGTTTTTTTCACTATTTTTGATTAAGTACTGTTTAAGTCACAATGTTGCTCCCATAGACTCAATGTAAAAAAATAATCCCTACCTACCTACCCTTTTTTTTTCAGCAAGTGACAGTAAACACACATTTTTTTGTTTGGCCTAAATAGTTTTGATAGTGATACACAGAATGAGATCAATTGTGTATCTATTTTCTTTTATATTACAGCAATTTGTAGACTGTGTAGAGAAAAACTATTTGGAAATAACAGTATTGAGCATGTTGAGGAGGTATGTCTTTTCATATACATGTATAAATATGATTCCCTGTACACATGTATACTCAATAGTCAATAGTGAGTTTATTGTTATGTCATGTATATATATATATATATATATATATAGAAGTCTATAAAAAGGACCAACCAGCAAATTTACTATGTACCGGATCGTCTAGAATAGACGATACTGTGCAGATAAGGAAAAAATTATATAAGTCTAGAGATTTGCACAACGATACTAATATAAGATGGTATTATACGAAGATGTTGTTAATTTATTAACAACATCTTCGTATAATACCATCTTATATAAGTATCGTTGTGCAAATCTCTAGACTTATATATATATATATATATATATATGGGATCCATATTGTAACTACATGTCAAACTGCATATGTACTCAGTTTTACTATGACAAGAAAAAGAAGATCTTTCAATTCAGAAATAACATTAAACTTTAAAGTTCCAATTTGGTCTTCATATTCACTAAGCTTTTGCACATTTTATTTGGTAAACTAGTTTCATCATTAAGCATTAGTAAAAAATCTATTAAAATAAAAACCAAGGTTTTAATTGATCTAATTTACATGTACACTTAGGGCCAATAGGGGTTAAACTATGCATTCATGCATGCATAATTGAGGGTAAATTAAGGGTAAATTTCTAAATCATTTGTGTATAAAACATACCTCAACTGAACCCTAACCCATTCATATATTACTAAACCCTCTAAGATAGGTTGGTTTTTGCTTCAATATTATCACGTGTATTCCAGAATTCATTATTGTTCCAATTTCAATTAGTACCTTGTTAAAAATATTCTTAAAAAGTTTTTCTTTTCTTTTAACTTAGGAGAACACTATTGAGACAAATACAATGATCAAGATTGCAGAAGCTGAAATACTACCACCTTAAAGAAAGAGGGTAGGTATAACTGTATATAAAATAGTATCATTGCATACACTTTATAAGATGTCTCATAAACTTGACTTTATAAGATATCTTGTAAAAGTATTTAAGATATCTTGTATAATATCAGATTATTACATGGCATTTTTCATATCGCATGTATTATCAGCCCTATAGGTTTAATATCAGCCCAAGAGCCGCATTGCTTGAGGGCTGATATTAGCCGAGGGCTGATAATACATGTGATATGAAAAATGACATGCTATGATCTTTTTATCATATGCTTCAACAATGGAGAAAAATAACAGATTAATATATTGATCTTTTTACGTGGTTCTTAAATAGCAGTTCAAAGAGTGAAATATTATAAGTTACATAGTGTGCTAGTGACCTAATACGGTATATATGGGGTCAGTAAATTCCATATGGGGTGAGAGCAAAGCTCGAATCCCCATATGGAATTTACTGACCCCATATATACCGTATTACGTCACTAGCACACTATGTAAAGAATTCATCTTACCGACCATCTTAACGTGTGAAATTTAGACTAGTGACCTATCAAAATGAGCACTGAAGTCTTCAATACTTTGAGCATTAAGAAACTTCTCTCATTGATCCTACAAAAACAGCTGCCAACAATAACAACTTGTTAGGTTTAAATGTGTTTTATGAATTCATTTCAATCTTAATCATCAATTTCTTCGTCTGTTGAAATCTTTAAGATGTTTTCTCAATACCGTTTTGTTTTTATAAAGGGACGCAACACCACTACTAACCGTGTATGAAATAAGCCCCGCCTCCTTTCTAACCTTATATGGAATATAAAGGGGACGTAACTCCACTCCTAACTGTGTATGAAATAAGCCCCGCCTACCTTCTAACCTTATATGGAATATAAAGGGACGTAACTCCACTACTAACCGTGTATGAAATAAGCCCCGCCTCCCTACAAACCTAATATGAAATATACACAGTCTCCACGCGGACGCTTTAAACCAATCATTTTCCTAGAAATGTATAGGAGGTAAGATAATCACGGATGTCAGACCCCAAATGTTGTACAATCGATATGAAATTTTTCTATCATATGCCTCAACAATGAAGATAAAAAACCAGTTTGGTATATTTTAATACGGACGATAAAAAAATAATTCAACAATATACATAATAAACACTGTTTGGAAAAGTCAACATTTTTAAAGTAACTTTCTTAATTATGTTAAAAATGCATTTATTTTATCATTTGTTTATTGTTTGTTTTTTTCCATTTTACACAATATACTTTCCAGTATCCAAATAATTGTTTTGTACCCTACTTTGTAATGTTTTTCACTGAAAACGTACCATTAAGGTGTATTTTCCAGAATTTGCCGAGTATTACCGGAATGCCATGCGATAACGTTACGGAAAGGCATGTGATAAAAGTCGAAGCATGTGATAAACTTTTCATATCAGACCGCTGAGCACCAATTCGAAAAAATATGGAATATACGTAAATGTAATGCTATTATCATATGGTAAAAATCATATGTTATTTAGTCTAAGTATATGAGAATATATTTTATATCTTTCATGAGAGATCTCATAAAGAAGTTTATAAAGATATCTCATAAACTTTAGAAGATATAAGATTTTCAAGATATCCAATTAGGAGCTAACTGTATTGAATTTGCAGATTTGGAGCCATCAATCATGGATTTGATGGTCACAAATTGAGTTTACTAGCGACACGTTAGCAGAGCCAGTAAACGGATATTTGCGACCATCAAATCATAGATTGATGCATATGGCTCCAAATTTTCAGATTGATATATACCCTGAAAATTACGACTTTATCCAATGAAATTTGACGTACATACGTTACAACGAATGTTGCATTAGAATGAATGTTATAGGACATCTGATATAATTTATAAGATATCTTATAAAACAATTTTATAAGATCTCTTATTGTCCCCCAACGGAGGGGACATAGAAATACCGGTGTCCGTGCGTCCGTCCGTCCAAAATCGGTTTCTGGACTGTTACTTTTGAACACCTTCATATTATTTCTTCAAACTTACACAGTTGAATGTTATTAGGTAAGGAAGATCCCTATTGATTTTGATGTTTCTAGTCATTCAAAGGTCAAGGTCACAAGTGCTTTATGGAAATATTATATTTTAGCACCATTGGGGGACCCCGGAGCCTCCTCTTGTTTAGTTTATAAGATATCTTATTTATTTTTTTAGATATCTCATAAATTAGATATAAGATATTTCATTAACTTTATTTGATATCTTATCTTTTTATTCAGACATAGGAGCCCAATAGTAATCAGCTTTCCGTCTGTCCGTCACAAACAGTTTTCACAAAATAAATCAAAAAGGCTATCACAAATCAATGTGAAAGTTTGATGGCTACCTATCAAAAAGCAGGGATATCACTAGTGAGCAATGACTCACAACACATCTTGTTTTATATTGTGTCTATCAGAATTCATTTAGTATCCAATCTTTTGTAGGCACTTGATAAAGTACCAGGGAAGCGTTACAGGGTGAAGGTTGTTGACACAATTCTTGATTTAGATGTAACCAAGAATAAGGAAACAATAACCAATATTACAAGTTTTTACAACTTTAGATTTGAGAGCAGTCATTTGAGGATGTGGCAGACATACAATATTGATGAAGGTATTACTTTTATATTCAACATAAAGAAAAAAACAGATTACAAATAACATATAGTTTTAAACATAACACAACCACTGAAAATACAGGGTCTGGCTTGTACACAGGTGGGTAAAAGAAGTCTATAAGTACTCAACCCTCTTCCGAAATCCTGGTTCAGAGGTTAAAAGTATATAAAGACAATTAAAAGCAATACCAATACTAAATTCAATAAACTCAGCACTTCATCTTAAAACATAAAAAATTAAATCATCTTAATAAAAAGGTTGCATTAAGCCTATTGATAAAAAAAACCACAAACTCCTAGACTAGAATGGATGCTATAAAAATTCACGTAATTTTATATCATAAAGACATAAAAAATCTATAGAGTTTATGATATTGAAGTTGGTTATTTTTTTTAAACTTCCATATTGATCAATTTAACAAACAATAAAATGAATACAGGTTCTTTAATTACAATTTTCATTTCAGGAAAGCTTGTGACTTAAAAATCAACAAAGAATTCTGTGCAGTTAAAAGTACTCAATGACTGGACAGAGATGTCTTTTAATGACCTCATTACTGAAGGTAATTTTATAATTATTTCATTTACTAACTGTCATGTACAAAACTTAAGCACACTTGTAAGACAATGATCATTATTATATTTTGTCCCAACAACCGAGAAAACCAACACAAAACTCAATAAACATTGTTATGCATCATTTAAATTCCCTGCTTGTGGGTTACAGGATTATGGGTATCGACAGAATCTTATTATAGATAATCAGGCTGCCCATTGTTGAAAGAGAAATTTATACATGTTGTATCGTTGTCCTTTTTAGGTCACCTGGCCCATTTTGAGTCCGTCTGGCATAAACTTTTTCAAAAATCTTCTGATACAACTGGGCCAATTGGAACTGAACTTGGTTAATGTAGTAAATTTGAATTTTTCTATTTTTATGGGAAACAATTTTTATTTTATTTATCCTCTTTTTAGGAACAGAACAGGCTTCAAAACAACAGAAGCAGACATTCATTTGTTCGATGGATGGTTGCATTCAAGAGTTCAAGAACCAGATTAGTCTTGATCAACACCTCCTTCAAGTCAGCTGTGAATATAAGCTAGAGAAAGGCCCATCAAAAGATCAGGCAAAAGTTCTATATGCCCAAAAGCTGTCAAATAATGTACATCATTGTCCTGATATGCAAGCAGTCTTACTAGAAAATGCATGTACTACAGACTTGAGTGCCAAAGAAATGTGATGGGCATTGAAAGTGAAAAAGAAAAAGATTTTCTTTAGCATCAAACAGAAAGAATTCATGACGGATTTATTTTATTTATCTTGAAAGGATGCAAAAAGCAGCCATATTGGATTCAACGACATTATATTTTCCCAATAAATAGGCAAAATAGAAAAAAAAAACGCCTACCTTAAACTACTTTTTAATAGCTTATATCCAAATTTGAAGCGTAAACAAAGCCCCAAAACATACTATGTTACTGTTTTACACTTGAAGTATTCATATGACGTCATGATGTTGCTATGAAGTTTATGTGCCAAAGAAGTCAACAACATTTTGTGGAATTTTTATTTTAAGCAACTATATGTCCAAATAAAAAACAGAAACAATATCTTTATTGACTATTGCATTAGAATGGATATAACTGTATTTTATTTTAAGGTTTGTGGACGTAAATCTAGATTTTACTGTTGCAATTATTCGTTTACCTAGCTCTGCTACAGGTCGCTAGGTTAACTCAATTTGCGACAGTAATATCTACGTTTTATGTCCGAAAAGGTTAAAATACAATACAGTTATCTCCGAAATTACCTACACATGATTGCACCAATATGAGTTTAATATAATGAAATTTGCATGTACTTAGAAGGTGTTTTACTTTATTTTAAATATTTAAGTCGGACCATCATTTTACCCACACTGCTTTATAAATAGCAAACTTTGTTGATCTGTATCAGTTAAAAACTAATATGAACAATCAGTTCTTTCTTCCCTCTGTATTCAATAACAAAATTAAATCTTTAAAAATGTAAAGATACATTCTTAATTTTAGAAAGAAAAAAAAATTGTAAAATTTTCAAAATTCAGTTACCATAGCAACCATTTTTATTAAATTTCATTAAACAAAACTATTTTTCTGGACTGAAAAATTTAACTGATCAATTTTATTAAATTGTAAGAAATTTAATGCCATCTTTGTATTGTTTAAATATGGAAATTATTTGGATCATTATTGACTTGTAGAAAAATACAATTTACAGAATTTAAAAATCTTGTGTTTTTCATTCATTAAAAATATTTTTTGCAATTATTTGCCCATTGATTTTATTTTATATTCTGGAAGACCTATATTGGTTCTTTCTAAATATACCTAACATTTTACTAGGAGACGCTGCATTCAAGAAAAAAATTCACTTGAATACCCTGTATTTACGCATTTTTCACTGAAATCCAAATTTGCCATTTCAGCATATCTTTACTAGCTGGTAGCAAAATAACTGATAATGGTAAAAGTAAAAACATATGTGAATTTCAAACAGCTTAAAGGTCAGTTATATTATATTATTCAGAAAAAAAGGATATGTTACACATAAATCAAGTACTAAACAGTGCAAAATGTCGTTTTTTCACTTTTTCAAGAGTTAAAATATGACCTTTTATTGCTAAAATCAACTTATGTGGTTTCCATGGCAACCGGAATATTCCGGAACAATTTGTTGCCTGTTATTGCCTTTAGGTATGGTACTGGCTATTATATAAAAGTTTCATCAAAATCATGTGTGCCAGACCCTATTAGAATTTCTTTGGTGGTTACAGAGAATTGCAAGAACGGGTATAAACTACCATTTTACACTGTACCAAGCAATTGTTCACTAAAAAACAACAGATCGGCATTAGATAATCCTGAATTTGTACAGAGTGAGATAGACAAATTAATACGTTTAGGTTGTGTGTCAAAAGTAGATCTCATACCAAAAGTGGTAAATCCTTTGACAGTAGCTAAGAATAAATATAAGTTGAGATTAGTTTCAGATGCTAGGCATATAAATCCGCGCTTGCATAAATTTAGATTTCTATATGAAGATGCAAGTGATTCATCAAATTTGTTTAACAAGCATGATTATCTGTTTTCATATGATTTGAAGTCTGCATATCACCATATTGAAATATTTTCTAAATATAAAACATATCTTGGATTTGCATGGGAAATTTCAGGTAAAATTTCCTATTATGTTTTTAATATATTGCCATTTGGTATTTCAACAGCCGGTTACATTTTCAATAAAGTTACTAGACCAGTAGTACAGTATTTCAGACAAAAGAGTAGTATTTAGATGATGGCATAGGTGGAGCGGAAAATTATGAGAAAGCATTAGAGATAAGTAATTAAGTGAACACAGAATTACAAATGTTTAGTTTTCTTATAGCAGAACAAAAATGCAACTGGCCACCTTCTCAGACAGTTACATGGTGAGGTTATTATGGGACATGTGTGTTGGTAAGATTTATGCGTCTCCTGAACGTTTAGATAAACTGAGAATTTTTTTAAAACATTTTCTCGAGAAAATATCTTCATGAAACTGTTTACTTAAAGCAAGGTTAGCGGCTTCATAAGTAGGTCAGATAATTTCTATGCAAGCAACTATGGGTAGTTTGGTTAAATTGAGAACTAGGAGTCTTTATGAATGCATAATGCAAAAAGCTAGTTGGGATTCGCCAGTTTTCATTAAAAAATGGCATTTGATGAAGTCGTTTTCTGGCAGGAAAACGTAGAGTTCCTCAATGGAGAGGAACTGTTGGATGACAAAATCTGCACCAGTGTGGTGTACACCGATGCCTCTGGTACAGGCTTCGGTGGGTATATAGTAGATTATGAAAAAAGCGAAGTAATAGGTTCATTGAAACCTGAGGAACAAGTAAAAAGTTCAACATGGCGTGAACTTGAAGCAGTTTATAAGATACAACAAGAACATGTACATTAGTAATTCCCAAATGGACCTCAGCAGCCTTTTGGCCTTTGTTAGTGACGGAAAGGGGGGAGGGGACTGAAAACTTTTATTGTAGAGTCGGAAAGTTTTCCTCAAATCATATTTTACGAGGAAGAGGAAAAAACGGTATTTTTGGAATGTACAAATCTGTATTTGACATGATCGCATTAAAATTTATTTTCAATTTATTAAAAACACATGTGCATAGGACATAACGGCTGAAACAAATTAAAATACTTACAACAAAATTATTTTATGAATCGAAATAGATATTTATTGATTTAATTTATTTTGACAGGGATTCAACTAGGACAAACAATAGAAGACGAAATTTTAGCAGCTGGTGTGACGTCAAATAACTTTTCAACTTTAGCCAATCGAATGGTACATTTTCTATTACATTCTAGAAATGAAAATACAACTAAATTATATCATGGTGTTTTTCGGAGATTCGAGAAATTCATCATTTCTGAAGGCGGAGTGGCAATTCCAACAGAACCTATTCACGTGTCATTGTATCTAACCAAACTTTTAGACAATGGCTCTTCGCACAGTGTTTTACAAACTGCTTTTTACGCTATTAAATGGGCGCATAATATAAACAATTTAGATGATCCAACAGATAATAATTTCGCAAATTTTTTTAGAATCCTCAAAAAGACAAGAGCATAGTCCAAAAGTTAAGAAAGATATTATTGACTCAGCTGATATATTTAAGCTATGTGAAAAATATACTAATAATGAGGACATAGGTGTAATAAGAGATTTAGTTATGATAGTGCTTGGTTATTCTGTTTTTTTTTACGATTTAGTGAAATCAGTTATATAAAATACAAAGATGTTAAATTTTGTGAATCACATATAAATATTACTATAAAAATGAGTCTAAATTGAAAAGAACTTTCAAACCTATGATTGCGTTGGATAAAAACCGCAATTTTTATACGAGTGCATGCAAAACAAATTTCTTGTTAGAGGGGTCTAAATACAGCACAAACAACATTTTCCAAAAGACCAAAAAAGTGAAAAAGTATATTTTAACCAAACGCTAATGACTAACAGGTCGAACAACAAATGTTTTTTAAATATATATATATATATACAAGTCGAAATTGAAAACAACGTTCAAACATATGATTGCGTTGGATAAATACCGCAATTTTTATACGTGTGCATGCAAAACAAATTTCTTTGTAGAGGGGTCTAAATACAGCACAAACAACATATATATATATATATATATATATATATATATATATATATATATATATATACTGTCTGAATAATAGCCAACGATAAATCTTACGGTGCGATGGATCATATAATTATGATACAGTACACTACAAAATATAATATAAAATAAGCAAGTCTAAAAGGGTACAACATTACCAAAAAAAAGTAAAATCATGAACAAATAATTAATATTTCGGAGGTCGGGCTTGCAGGTGTAGTCACTTCGATGGTTCAGTCTAGGTGGCAGAGTGGTCTAGAGCGCTGGACACAGTGCAGGCGGTGTTGTCTCAATAGCATGAGTTCAAATCCCGTCGAGACCCCCATGGGTAGTCAATGTCGTTTATATCTACCTGTGTGACGCCAAACGCGCGATTCTACGCCAGTACTTAAAACCTTCCATCCTTAATGGGTGGATTTTACATAGATAAAAAAAATCGTATAATAAAAAAAGCAAAATGAGGATGTTAAATTTGATGTATGCCTTTTGGTGCTTCTTTGTTACATTTTTTTGTTTTTATAGTGATTAAGATGATAACACAATGTTGACTGATGTACCCCAATTTTTGACATTTTTACCTATTGTGTCTGTTTGTTTTGTTCACGCATCGTTGTCAATATAATGGAATTTGATGCCACTGTCATACAAGTGAGAGGTTTAGCTAGCTATAAAACCAGGTTCAATCCACCATTTTCTACATAAGAAAATGCCTGTACCAAATCAGGAATATGACTGTTGTTATCCATTCGTTTGATGTGTTTGAGCTTTTGATTTTGCTATTTGAATAGGGACTTTCCTTTTTGAATTTTCCTCGGAGTTCGTTATTTTTGTGATTTTACCTTTTACATGCGACAGCTTATATGAATAATGACACGGATATTCCACTTGTCATAGCCACAATCCTGTTCTCTTTTCCTCTATTGTGAAATCATTGAATACGACTCATTACGGAATGTTTACCACAAGTTGCGGGTGCCCCTAGCAGAGCAGGTTCTTCTTAGGAGGTTCACGATTCCTGTTATTCCTTTTTATCAATTACTAGAAGATAAATTGTCCGATAATAAATTTAAAAATAATTAAAAAAAAATAAGCTTCCAACTACCTTACGCACAGTTGACCTTAGATGGATTTGGCTATTATTTTAGTTCCTTTTTGGTCATATGACTCTTCAACGGTTTCGTTTCTTATACATCCTTAGCTTTCAAATAATTAGCTTTGAACGTTCCTGATGAAGGAAAAGCCAGAAAATCGTTTCAGACGCATAAAATTGTATGTTTTTTTCATTTTTAACAACAATTGGTCGATACCGTTGCTGGTGGACTATCAGGTATCATCAGCTCAGTAGTCAGTAATTAGGTACGACATGATTTATAACAAACCTTTCTAAAATTGCCTTATTAATTTATAAATCTAGAAATTATTGAGATACTAAGGTTTCAACCTCCTAAGGCAAAGTTAACCATAAATGGATTTGGCTATTTTTGTTACGTCCTCTTTGTTCTTATAGCTCTTCAACTGTTTCGGTTCTTATACATCCTTGTCTTTCAAATATTCGGCTTTGAGCGTTCCAGATGAAAATCGATCCAGAAAAGTGCTTCGAACGAAAGAAATGTATAAAGTATTGTTTTCATATTTTACAACCCTGGGTCGATACAGCAACTGTTGGACTATCAGTCCCCGAGGGAAACACCAGCTCGATAGTCAGTACCTCGACTCAGACATGATTTATAACAAACCTTTCTAAAATTGTCCGATTAAAGATTTAGAGATTATTAAGAAACTAAGGTGTCAACTTCCTTAGGCAAGGTTAACCTTA